GAATATACCACAGCTTCTCTACCCATTCGTTTGTTGATGGGCATTTAGGTTGTTTCCAACTCCTTGCTATTGTAAACAAAGCCGCGATAAACATGGGTATACGTATATCTACTTGGATGTCATTTATGGTCTCTTTAGGGTATATTCCCAGTAGTGGAATTGCTGGGTCAAATGGTATCTTTCAAAATGCCTTTCTTAATGGTTAAACCATTTCACATTCCCACCAGCGGTGAATAAGGGTTCCAATATTTGCACAACTTCGCCAGCATTTGTTGTTTGCTGCTCTTTTGAACTTTGCTATTGTTGTTGGGATATCTCCTGAATCTTTTGATAGTAGTACACAAGCAAAAGGGTTGTTGATGTAAAAGGCCTGACTTCAGGGTCCAAGATACTTTAAATATCAGGCCCCAGCCACTAATTGGCTGTTGAGCAATAACGCCTGTCTTCTAGTTCACAGCTGCTTTAAATTAGAGGCCTATGGCACTAAAGGGCTGTTGAGGAAAAAGGGGAAGAAACAAAACCAACCCAAATCCAGCTTTATCTAGTCAGTTGTGACTTATGGCAATCCTCTGTCATATTTCTGAGACTAAATCTTAATGGAATCAGACTGCTTCATCTTGCTCTGTGGAGTTACTGGTATATTCTAACTACTGACCCCATGTTTTTGTTGTTAGCTGCCATCCCATTGTGAATGACTCATAGTGACCCTATGGACAAAAAAAAAATTTTTTAAAAAATTATTTTTATTGAAAGTTTACAGAGGCTTTGGAGTTCCATTCATTCATTGTTGCACTTTTCTCCCTGCTTACCTTTCCCCCGCCGCCATTCGCTCTTCTCTTTGAAAAGTAAAAGAAAAATTCTTTCATTGTTACACAGTCCCTCCCCGCAAGTTCACTCCACTATGCTGCTTTCATTCTGGACTCCTGTCATGACAATGATAACTAATAATATATTGCTATTAAACAGTTGTCTTCCTCATCTGTTTCAACTCAGTATACATTATTTATCCCCTCTTAAGCTCCCCCCAACCCCGATTTCAGTCCTGTTTTACAACAGTGGCACTATGCAGTATTTTGGTAAAAAAATCTTAACCCTGCCCTATGTTGTGCCACCCTCACAATCTCAGACACACACGAGCCTGAGTGTGACAGCTAGCAGTAGCCACTTGGTTGAGGATCTTCCTCTTCTTTCTTGTCCTTCCACTTTTCCAACCATGATGTCCTTCTCCAAGGAAAACCACTCGTAGCAACATACCCAAAGATCTTCCAGATAGCAGTACAAGTGAGAAGGTGGGAGGTCAGAAAACTCTTAAAAAGATAAGGGAGGTAAGAGGACAGGAAGCCACCTAGAGTGAGAACGAGTTGCTTGGGAAGAGGCAGAGACAGTAATTTTTCACAGAAGGTTTTTGCATCATAGAGTTAGGATAGGAGGGTTATGAAAAGAAGTAGGAAGCAGGAAGCAGGGAGATCTGTGTTCAAATCTCAACTGTTCAAAATATAAACTACATGATCGTAGGCAAAGAACAAAACCTCTCTGAGTCTCAGTCCCTTCACTGTAAAATGCAGATAATAATATTGACTTCTTGCTCAGTGTTTTCCAGCCCCACATCCTTGGCAAACACTGATGGCCCATCCATCAGTTACAGATGATGTTTGAGATGAAATCTTTTACATGTCTACAAACTCCAGGACTCGTAAAGATTGTAATTATTTAAGAATTAACATAGACTCAGTAGTCCCACTCCTAAGTTTATACCCAAGAGAAGTGGAGACAGTAATTCAAACAGAAACTTAAACACCAGTTTTCATTGCTGTTGTTTTCACAGTATGCAAAAGGGAGAAACAACCTCATAGTCCATCAGGCTGAATATATAACCCAGATGTAGTGTAGACATACACAGTGGAATACTTTTCAGCCACAAAGAGGAATGATGTTTTGATACATGTCACAACATGGATGATCCTCATTACTGAGTGAAATGAGTCAGTTGTAGTAGGACAAATAATGCATTATTTCACTTGTGAAATAAGCAAATGTATAGAAACTAGAGATTATTGATAGTTACCAGAGGTAGGAAGAAGGAGAAGATTTGTTTGTGGTGCTCTGGTGGCCCAGTTAGTTAGCCCAGAGACCCAAGTTCCCCAGCTGCTGCTCAGGAGATGACAGTCTCCTCCTGTGAAAACCCACTAGAGGATCAGCTGAGTCAGTTCTGACTTGATGGCAATGGGCCTGAGGGGTTTCTTTTAGTTTTGAGTTTATGGTAATGTTGGTGGAATATTTTGGAAAAGGATCGTGTTAATCATACAAGAACAATGATTAACATGAAAAATGTAATCTTTGTCATTGGATTGTAAATGTGGAAATTGTGTCAGCATGCTTTAGTGTATATATTTTCACCACTATTTTTTTAAAAAGAACTAATGTAAAATGCCTTGTAGAGTGTCTGCCACGCAGTGTATGGTCAGCCAGTGACGTTGAATACTATTGGTTCTTATTCCTGGTTACCCTGCATGATGGGGTACATCTGTCCCACAGGACTGTTACCTGTACATAGTTCCTAGGTGGATTTGAACCACTAACCTTTATTAGCCACCAAGAACTTCAACATGGTACCACCAAGACACTCAGCAAATGGTAGTCATTTTTATGACATTTGGCTCTGTGTTCCTTGGGGGCCAGGTTAAATATGTTACCAAATATGTTACCAAACAGGAGAGAAGCCCCTGTTCTCAGGAGAGTGTCTGGGTTGTTGGTGTCCTTGTCTTACTCTTTGGCATTGCTTAGGTCATGGCCCTATCCCTAGGGGTCTCCTTTTATTGTGGGTAAGCCCCACAGAGACTTTTTAGCTTGTGTGACTTGCCATATCTCTCTAGGGATTGCTCTGGGCTTGTCCTCCTTTCCAGCTGTCCTCAGACCACAAGCCATCTCCACAAATTTTTCACTCATTCACGAAGAGTCCAGAGACCCACAGCTCTCTACTGGTGAGATGTGATGGGAGACTCGCGGGGCAGTGGTGAGGTCCCAACAGGCCATTCTGTGACTGCCCCCCACCTTTCTCCCCCCACAGCGCTGTCACTGATGGGATCCCAGCTGCTTCCGAAGGGAAGATCCAAGCAGCTCTGAAACGGGAACACATTAATGGGGTCGAACTTGTGAGTGAGGGTCTGGTTGAGGAAGAGAGGGATGCAGTGTCCCTGACAGAGTTAGGAAGATTGGCTTGGGGTGGCTGTCTCTCCTGTCCCCTGAAACAGACAAGTGACCACTGCCCATTCTGCTGTCTTATCCCAGTGTGCTCAGATCTGGTGTAACTCCTAGGCATATGTGAAGCTTGTTTGCTTGTTAACTTTTAGCTACTCTATGGGAGAATGATGGGGAAATCTCCTTTTGTGTGATTTACTGCCTCTGAGAATTGCCAGAGGATCAGCTATGGATCAGTTCAGATCTGACGGTACACAACAATTGGCATATGTGAGGCTTGTTGTTTGGCACTGCAGGTAGTTCCGGTGAAGCCCCCATCCCGGAAGCAAGTCCTGGAAGGAGTCAAGAATACCCTCAGCTACTTTCGTGTCATAGCCACAGGCTCTGGCTGTGCCCTGGTCCAGCTGCAGCCACTGACAGGTGAGTATGGCATTTCAGCCAGCTTCGGGACTGTGTTTCCCTGCGGAAGATAAGTAGGTAAGAGAAAGGTGAGAATATTCAGCAGCAGCTTTGAGAGCTTGATTGACACCAAGGGGGTGTGTGACCAGGTCCCACTTCATGCACCTATGCAGTCAGCTTTCAATCAGTGTGACCCTCTTTCATCTTACTTTTTGCCTTCAGGGTCTACTTTATGGATTCCTAATGGGAACATCTGGAAACTACCTTATTTTGCTATGACTCTAAACCTTTTATATTTTGGGAATTTTCTTTAGATTTCCAGTTTTCATTTGGGTCTAATGTGTTCGTTTAACTTGTCCACTGATTCTGTCTGTCATTTCTAGTTTTATTTAGTTCTTTTCTAAATGTAAATAGCCTTTTAAGAAATACAGCAACTTACTTTCTCATAATACTTGTTCTTTTATTATGTCTTTAATAATTTTTTACATACTGATTTTATATTTCTGATCATATCACTAAAAATGACTGGAACATCATATCAACAGAGAACTTCCAGGAATTGAAGCTGGATTCAGAAGAGGCCATGGCAGCCTAGATGTATCTTGGCTGAAAACAGAGGTTACCAGAAAATGTTACTTGTGTTTGATTACATAAAGGCATTTGACTATGTAGATGATAACAAATTATGGCTAACATTGAGAAGAATGGGAATCCCAGAACACTTGTGCTCACATAAAACATTTACATAGACCAAGAAGCTCTTATCCAGCAGAGCAAAGGAACAAAGTAAAGGTGTGTGTCTGGGTTATATACTTCTCCATACCAGTTCAGTCTGTATGCTAAGCAAATAATTAGAGAGGCTGGACTATATGAAGAAGAATGTGGTGTCAGGATTGGAGAAAGACTCATGAATAGGCTGCATTTTGCAGATGACACAACTTTGCGTGTAGAAAGTAAAAAGACTTGAAGCACTTGTTGCAGAAGGTAAAAAACTACAGCTTTTAATAGGGATTACATTGCAACATAAAACAAAAGTCCTTACTATTGGACCTATAGGCAACATTGTGATAGAAAAAAGATTAATGTTAACTTTCATTTTACTTAAATCCACAGTCAGTACTCAGGGTAACAGCAGTTAAGAAAATAAAACATGTTATACCAGCTAAATCTGATAAGTCACAGACTTCTCTGACGTGCCAAAAGCAGTGATGCAAGTTTAAAGACTAAGGTGAGAGCTCAAGGTCGGGTTAACCTCTACATGAGTTCCCCCTGCCATATTGAGATGATCCTTACTGAAAAGGAACAAATTGTTCCTAAACCAGAAGTGGAGGTTGCCCAGAAGAAAAAGATGCCCCAGAAGAAACTAAACCAAAACTTATGGCTCGGGAAGAAATAATTCCGCATCTAATAAAATTCAAGTGACTCAGAAAAAAACCCTAAGATGTACCTGATGCAAGCATGGTATTTTCATTTGCTTATTATACATCTGAAAGTTGGACGATGAATAAAGGATGACAAGAATTGATGTCTTTGAATTGTGGTATTGGAGAAGAATACTGACTATTCTGTGGACTTTCAGAAGAACAAACAAATCTGTCTTCGAGGAAATGCAAGCAAGGTACTCCTTAGAGGCGAGGATGGTGAAATTTTGTCTCAAATACTTTGAGCATGTTTTCAGGAGAGACAGTCCTTGGCAAAAGACAGCATGCTGGGAAAGGCAGAAGGTCAGAGGCGAGGAAGGCCCTCATGGAAGTGGACTAACACTGACTGCAACAGTGAGCTGCTTGCAGGTTGTGAGCATATTGCAGGATAAGGCCAGGTTCATAGAGTCACTGTGACTTGCAGATAGCTTGATGACACCTAATGAAAGCAATACTGTCTGAAATTCTAGAGAGGCTAATCTTACCTGTATTTCCTTATGACCCTCATAGTTGATGGTTTCTTTTTTTGTAGAGCTTTGGAAAATTGATGTAATCACTTGATTGCAGTGGGTTTGAGTTTTGGTTTTGTGTTTCCTGGAGGTGGGACTCTTTTAAGAAGCCCTGTCTTGGTTTATGCTGGCAACACAGGAATATCAGTATTCAGTGCTTCTCTAAATGTCTTGGTTGGTAGATCACTCAAGTAATGTAAGCTGTAGCTCCAAACCTGTGTGAGGAGGCTCTTGGTTGTGGCCTCTTTATCGTCCCATCTAGATGTAAGGACTGTCTTCTCTGGGCACTGGCTTCTTTGTCTTGTCTACTCTTTCACTGAAAGTGTAAGTGTGCCTAGGGCTTCATCTGCGTATCAGGGCCTCCCCCTTTGCCCCAGATAACTATTAAAATCCGAAGACCCTTAGTATGCAGTGTCGGCAGCATGACCAGGATTGGTAAATCATTCATTGGCTCTCTTTAAATTTGTTTTCCGTTTTGTGTTTTGGTTTCTAAGGCCTTACTTTCCTGTATGCTCAGCTGTATTTAAAACTATGTGTACTGTATTTCCCTCCTTTCTAGATGATTTGTAGCAAAGAGGCTTTTAATTATTCAAGCCACATATTGTCAAAAATGGAAGCAGAGTGCTTCCCAAGGGTTTGAGTCCTAGCTTACGGTGGTAGGCAAGTCACTTATTTTTTAGCATTAGTTTTATCTGTAAAATAGGATTGCTGAAAGGACTCCATAAGTTCACATATATGAAGCATTTAATGTCATGCCTATAACATAATTTTCTTGGATCCGTAGTCAACATGCATAGTAGCAGTTGTCAGGAAATCTAAAGCTGTGTTGCATTTAGCAAAACTGTCAAGGACCTCTTCAGAGTGTTAAGGAGCAAAGATATCAGTTTAAAGACTAAGGTGCACCTGAGCCAAGCCATGCTTTAATTACTTGCTATGCATCTAAAAGTTGGATAATGAATAAGGAAGCCCAAAGAAGAATTGATGCCTTTGAATTGCGGTGTTGGAAAAGAGTATTGAATAAACCATGGACTGTGTAAAGAACAAACCAGTCTGTCTTAGAGGAAATGTAACGAGCTTGCTCTTTAGAGGCAAGAATAGTTAAACTCTGCCGTACTTTGTGCATGTTGTCAGGAGGGACCAGTCCTTGGAAGAGGTCATCATGCTGGGAAAGGTAGAGGGTCAAAATGAGAGGAAGACCTTTATAGACATGGATTGACACAGTGACAGTAATAATGGGCTTGAGCATGATGGAGATTGTGTGGATGGTGCCGAACAGGGCAAGGTTCAGATCTGTTCATAGCGGCACTTTGAGTAGTAATCAACTCAACAGAACCTAACAAAAACTACAGCATAACCCACCCCACCTCCATTTCTGTATTTATCAAGATACTTTCGGTTGGAAATTTCCCCTAATGTAGTTCAAATTAGTGTAAGTCAAAAAAGAGGATTTGTTGACTCACATAAACCAAACATTCAGGCATGACTGAATTCAGAGACTCAGAGGGGAACTATGATAAGCAGAGTTTTAAATACAGCTGAGCATGAAAGCATTGTGTGCATTTCTTGGTTCTCACTTCATGCTTATTGGCTTCACTGTTCCCAAGGCTTCCCTTTGGTAAAGGTGGACATGGCCCCAGCAGTTACAGGCTCATACCTCCAGTTTAGCCACCTGGGCAAAAAAAAAGTTCCTTATTCCAAGTAATCTCAATAGTATTATCAGGATTATGTCCCACTGTGAACCAATTGTACCAGGGCCAGGTGGATTGGCTATTAGGACTATCCTGACCTGGAGGCAGAGGTGGTAGCAGTGACTCACTGAAAACATAATCTAAGGACTAGGCCCGTGGGGTGTTTTCTACAGGAAAGGGAGAGTGGCAGTACTGGTTGCAGCTGGAAACTGCCACCATCTCCTTGCCTCTCCTCTTCGTAGTGTTCCTCGATCAGCTCCAGGTGCACATGACACTGCAGCTCTGCCCTGTGCTTGGGGACCACACTTACTCCTCGCGCGTGAGCACGGTCCTGGGTCAGCGTTTTCTCTTGCCAGCCGAGAACATTAAGCCGTCAAAACAGGTACCAGAGCCACCTGCTGGCCCTGTCCTGGGGCACAGGGACAATTATCAGCATCTTCAAATATTACCTACCCAGCCTGGGGCTGGACAGCAGCTCTCTTGGCTTCCAAGGTGATCCTTGTGTGGCCTTAGAGATGTGACACTCTTCTTCCCTTGGGTCTCTTCCTACCAGTTCAATAAGGGAATTGAATTGGCTGATCTCTAAAGTCCTTTCCACTCTGTCATTCTGAGTCCATTCAGTACTGCAGTTAAAAGAGATGTTTGCATGGGTGTATAGCAGTCAGAATTAAATCAGTGGCAGTGAGTTTGGAATTAGTTGTCTGCTGAAAGAGTATACTCAAAGTACCTGAGTCTAACACAGGAACTTCCCCACACTTTATTCAGTATCACTTGGGAATCCAGGCTGTTGGTCTCAGTCAGCCCCTGAGGTGAGATAGTCTTTTCATTTATTTACATACCTCCATTTACATTCCACCTGTTTTAGCCCTCTGGTGAACCTCTAGCTAGTTGGCTACAGTGTGAGATTGGGGTCCTGTGGGTGTGTGCATGTGTAAATGAGAATTAAAATAGCTCACAGCAAGGAGGGAGGGAGAAAGGGCTTGTCTAACCAGCTGGTTAAAATTGAGTGTGCCTCTTATTGGAACTTGGTTTGCTCACATGCCTCTCCTACCCACAGGTCATGAGTGAAGCCCTTCTGCGATGCCTCCTCCTGACCTCCTCCCAGGCTGCCCAGCTGCCATTGCACCTCCACCTGCAGTCTCTCTTCCTCCCAGGACCCAGACCCCAGGATGCCCCCAATGAATTTCGGGCACCACTGCCACCTTACTTCTCTAGGACCCTACAGTGCCTGGGGCTTCACCAGTAATTTCTCTCTTTCTGTTCTTGATGCACTGGATGACTGGAGTGTAGGGGGAGAAGGCCTGTAGCTGGCTCAGGGAAAATGAGATCAGAGCTTAATGTGGATAAAGCCAGAACTGGCTGTGTGCTACTTGGCAAGTGACTCTACCTCTCTGGACTTGAAATAATGAAAATACCTACACCTCATGGTAGTGTTTGGAAGTTTTGCTGAGACAGTAAATACTTAATGTGGACCATGCTTGCTTTTTATTTATTTGGTGGATTTTTACCCTATCCTGCCTGGGCTAGTTTATTTACTTTAAAAGTTGTGAAATATATCACACACAGAAGACTACATAAAGCACATCTCTGTATTTTAAAGAATAGTTATACAGTGACACCTGTAAAGCTACCATTCGGGCCAAGAAGTAAAAGCATCCCTCTGGGAGGCTGGGCTCTATAGGGTGGAATGTGGCATCGGGGTTGGAGGAAGATTCAACAACAGGCATTATGTAGATGACAGAACCCTGCTTACCGAAACTGAGGAGGACCTTAAGTGCTTGCTGCAGAAGGTCAAGGACTGCAGCCTTCAACATGGATTGAAGCTCCACATCAAGAAAATGAGGATTCTCACCACTGGGCTAATTGGCAACATCATGATGAATGGTGAAGAGATTGAGATTGTTAACAGCTTTAGTTTGCTTGACTCCACAATCAACACTCTTGGTACTAGCAGCCAGGAGATCAAGAGATGAATTGCATTGGGAAAGTCGGCTGTCAGGGACCTCTCCAGAGTACTGAAGAGCAGTGATGTCAGTCTGGAGACTAAGGTGTACCTGATCCAGGCCATAGTATTCACAGTTGCTTGCTGTGCGTCAGAGAGCTGGACAGTGACTAGGGATGATAGAGCCTTTGAGCTGTGGTGCTGGAGAAGAATTTTGAATATATCATGGACTGCTAGGAGAACAAACAGGTTTTTCCTAAAGAGTGAGCCAGGCTGCTTCTTGGAGGCAAGGATTCTGAGGCTTTGTCTGACGTACTTTGGACATGTTGCAAGGAGGGACTTGGAAAGGAACATCATGCTTGGAAGGGTGGCACGATGGAAAAGGAGGGAGACCATCCATGAGATGGATTGATAAAGTAGCTGGGGTAATGGAGGTAGGTGTGTCAGAGACAATAAAGTTGGCACAGGATAGAGTAGGTTTCAGGGCTATTGTACATAGGGTTGCTATGAGTCGCAAGCGACTCGACGGCACATAAACACTGCTTGCTTGTATAGCATTCCTCATTCCTGATCCCACATTGGAACTGACAGTCTTGGCTACTAATCAAAAAGATATTTTAGTCCATCCAGAGGCACTTTGGCAAAAAGGCCTGGTGGTAAAGCCATCAAAAACTCCTCTGACGGGGTGAGGTTAGAGCCAACTTCATGGTAATGGTTGGTTGTTGTTTTGTTTTGTTTAATTGTCCCTCATGAAGCTTATGAAAATCTGAGTGCCTCTCATGGCATACATACCAGAGGTTCTGGTTTATCTCTGGCATCTGTCTTGGTAAGAAACTTCTCAAGGGGCCCTAAAGAGTATATTCTTTTCCTTTAAGCTTTGCCTTACATATTTATCTCTAAACTTTTTTTCCTGTCGCTGAGTTTTCCACAAATGGGATCATTGCTGCACTCATCCTATTGTGATTGTCTCTTCCTCCATGTTGTGAAATGTACTTCTGCTGTACATGTAGCTTGAATTCCTATGTTCAAGTATTCTCAGTTTATCAACTCTGCTCCAATCACAACACATGTTGTGTTGCTACAAACCTGTGTATTTTTTAAAAATAAAATTTTTTACAAAGTTTGTATATATCATTTTCATATTCAGTCTTTACTGTTTTCTTTGCCCACCCCTCCCTACACCCATCAAATGGTGTGACACTATGATTAAGCAAGCACCCTAAACCCATTCTCACCTCTCTCCTCCTCCCCTCCCTCCCTTGGATCCTCAAACACATTCTATAATAATGGTCTTACACAATATTTGTTCTTATGGGACTGAATTAGTTCACTTAGCATAATGCTCTCCTGCCCCTCACAGGTAGTGATTCCCAGCATGCTCCTGTGTGCTCTGTAGTCCATTGTGTGAATGTACCATAATTTCTCAATCCATTCAATTGTGGTTGGATATTTCGGCTATTTCCATGTGCTTGTGATGGTGAATAATGCTGCTATGAACATTGGTGTACAAATCTCCATTTGTGCTTCAGTTATTATTTTTCAGGGTATATATAAACAGTGGAATAGCTGAGTTATATGGAATTTCTGTGTTCAGCTTTCCAAGGAAGCGCCAGTCTGCCTTACACAGTGGTGGTACCATTTTACAGTCCCACCAACAGTGTGTAAGAGTTCCTGTCTTACCACATCCTCAGCAACATTTATCACTGCTGTCCTGTTAAACTTCGTCACTGCTACTGGGTGAGTTGGTATCTCATTGTGGCTTTGATTTGCATCTCTCTCATTGCCAGTGATTTTGAGCATTTCTTTATGTGTCTGTTGGCCATCCGAATATCTTCCTCTGAAAATTCTTTGCATGTCTTTTTTGCACCTTTTGTAACTGTGTTATCAGTCTTTTTTTCTTCTGGAGGCCCTGTAGGATTCTGTAACCTTTATATGAGACCCTTATCTGAAATGGTATTGCAAAATGTTTTTTCCACCAGTCAGTATTCTTTTATCTCTGTTGGAAAAAGTTTTTGGTGTGCATAATGATTTAATCTAGAAGGTCCCACTCATCAATTTTATACTTTCCAGATTGTACGTTTCTTTATACCATAGACTAGGGCATCTAAGCTTGATTCCAGTTTGTCTCTGATGAATCTTTATGGGTTTGGGCTTTACTCACAGGTCTCTGATCCACCTTGAGTTGATTTTTTTGTGTATGGTGTGAGATGTGAATCCTGTTTCAGCTTTCTTCAAGGAGAAGCCCAGTTTTGCCAGCACCAGTTGAAGAGGTTATTTCCCCATTTGATAGGTTTTATTTCCTTGTTGAATGTCATTTGGCCATAGATAACTGGGTCCATTTCTGGGTTCTTGATTCTGTTCCATTGGGGTGTGTGTCTGTTATTGTGCTAGTATCCCACTGTTCAGTTTACTACCAATGTGTAGTAGGTTTTGACATCAGGGAGTGCTGTACCTCTTAACTTCATTTTGGTTTTTCGGAAGTGCTTTGCTTATTTGGGGTCTCTTTCCTCTCCAAATAAACTTGACAGTTGCCCTTTTGATTTTCTTGAAAAATGAATTTGGTATCTGTATTGGGATTGCATGAACATGTACATTGTTTTTGGTAGGATTGTTATTTTCATGATCTTGAGTCTTCCTATCCATGAACATGGAACATTTTCTCATTTCTTTAGGTCTTAATCATTGTGTCTTGCAGAAGTGTTCTGTACTTTTCTTTGTATAGGTCTTTTGTGTCTTTAGTTAGGTTCACTCCCAATTATCTCAATTTGATGGCTATTATAAATGGTATTGCTTTCTTGGTTTCCTTCTCTGAGTTCTCTTTGTTACTGTAGAGGAATTCCACTGATTTTTGGATATTGATTTTACATCCTACCACTCAACTAAATTGGTCTACCAGCTCTAACAGTTTTGGTTTGTTGGGTTGGGGTTTTTGTTTGTTTATTTTTTGAGTCATTGGGATTTTCTATATGATTGTGTACACTATCATATCATCTGCATATAGCAACAGTTTCACCATCTCTTTGTCAATCTGGATGCCTTTTTTATTTCCTTCTCTTGTCATAATGCCCCGACAAGTACTTTCAATACAGTATTGAATAGAAGCGGTAACAGTTGGTCTCGTCCCTGTTCTCAGGGAAAATGCTTTTAGTATTTTTTCATTGAGAATGATATTGGCTCCTGCTTTTGCATATATGATTTTCATTATGTTGAGGACTGCTAAGAGAATGAACAAGTTTGTCCTGGAGAGAGTTAAACCAGGCCACTCCTTGGAGGCAAGGGTTCTGAAGCTTTGTCTGACATACTTTGGACATATTGCAAGGAGGGACCATTCCTTGGAGAGGGACATTATGCTTGGGAGGGTGGAGGGACAGTGCAGGAGAGAAAGACCCTCAATGAGATGGACTGATTCAGTGACTGGGGTAAAGGAGATAGGTGTATCAGAGACAGTAAGATTTGCATAGGATAGAGCAGGGTTGAGGGCTGTTGTACATAGTGTTGCTATGAGTTGCAGGTGACTTGACGGCACATAACAACATGTTGAGGAACTTACCTTCTATTCCAATTTTGCTGAGTGTGTCTTTTTCAGGAAAGGGTGTTCGATTTTGTCAAATGCCTTTTATGCATCAATTACTAAGATCATATGATTCTTGTTACTTTAAAAATTGTTATTGAACATTTACAGAGCATTGCTTCTTTAGTCAGTCATTCATAATTTTTGTTTTAGATTATTAGTCACATTACCCACAGTGTAATGCTACTTGTCTGACTTCTTTTGATTTTCCTTTCTGTTAAAAAATTGAAGTTGTCAACGATTTTACTTGGATCCACAGTCAACACTCATGTTACCAACAGTGAAGAAATCAAAAGATGTATTACACTGGAGAAATCTATCAAGGACCTCTTCAAAGAGCTAAGGAGTAAGATGTCAGGTGCGTCAGATCCAAGCAATGATATTATTTAGTTTCTAGGCATCTGAAAGTTGGACAATAAGTAAGGATGACAGAAGAATCATCTCTGCCTTTGAGCTGTGGTGTTGGAGAAGAGTATTGAATATCCCATGAACTGCCAAAAGATCATGCTTGTCTTGGAAGTGTAATTAGGGTGCTCCTTAGATACAAGGATGGTGAAACTTGGTCTTTCATACTCTGGGCATGTCAGGAGGGGCCAGTTCTTGGGCTAAGAGCATCCTGGGAGAGGTGGACTGTCAGATAAAGAAGACTGAGTAAAATAGGTTGACACAGTGACTTTAGGAATGTGCTGAAGCATGTTGGAGATCGTGAGAATGGCATGATATGCGCAGATCT